AAAATGATTTATAAATAACAAATACGTCAAGTATTTTTAACTTTGTTCACTGCCTAATGTTCACACATATGATTACAAAAAGGAAACATCTGTAGTCGATCAAAGAGGTAAACATTTGGTCTACATGTAGACATGAATTTATTGGTGCACACATAAAACTATAGCATCCTTCTCAAACTGTTTCGCGTGGACCTCTCAAAAATGTTGCTTGCACATTATTGGTCATTCTTGTAGCTCATTTATTCATCTTAAAACATTATATTACATCATACAGTCGGAAAATACATATGAAGGAGTTGGACAGTACCTTCAAATGAAGATCAATGAGAATATATTTAATAAGTAAAATCCAGCAATATCTGCACTACAACTTGCCAAAGGGAAAACCTTATTAGATTAGCTGGGCCACTTCCCTTGAATCACATTTAACGGCTAAGTATTCATATCTATTCGGACCCCTAAATCCCCCCCAAACCCCCTCTACTGATATTTATATTTATAATAATTTAATGCAAAATGCAATTTTTAAAAAACATTCCGAGACATGTTCTGAAGTTTATGTATTCATAACAAATAAAAATACATTATACCATCAAAAGGTGTAATATGGTGAAGCCAACTTTTACATAAAAAAGGAAACTAGAAAATAATTGCGACAATCAAGGAATGATAAGGGAGTTTTCTATGCAAGTGTTTATGTATTAGTAAAAAACAAATAAACAAACAAACAAAAGTAGGCAAAAGTTTACATTCCTACCCATGCAAGTTATACATTTCAATGTGACTTGTAGCACAAAATTCAGATTTGTTAATAATTACAGTTGCTTTCATCCACATCAGATGATTCAGTCCTCACAGGACCTGTAAACCACTAGAGATGTTGTTTTTCAGAAACGTTCTTTTCACCTGCTATACAAGTCACTTCTTGTTGATGAACTCACTCGTACGATGGAAAACACTTGCAAGATACCCTCAGGATAACGTCAGGTTTCAAGAGCAGATCTCCACTATACTTTGGTTGCGTCCTTACAACTGAGCGCTACAGCGTGCTGGATCAGACAGTTAAACACAGGAGTTACTTACAGCATGTGCCTGAATTAGTCAATACAAGTTCATTAGTGTGAAAAAAAAAAGGCATTTAACAGCATATTTAAAAAAAAAAAAAAAGATTCATTGTAATCTGCAAATGTATAAGACGGCAGTTCAAAGAGCTGAAGAACACATAAAGCATGAGTTTGGTTGACGTCAAAGCCACGGTGGTATTTGACAGATGTGATACAGGCCGAGGAAGTGTACATTTAACTTTTTAGGCTCCCTTTAACAGCATTATATTCTCAAGACAGCTATTAGAAAGACACAAGGGATCACTTTAACTGACTTTAATACTGTCCAGAAACATGAGATACTGTCTGTGTGTTAAATGGCATGTTTAAAGGGATAGTTCACCCAAAAATGAAAATTCTGTCATTAATTACTCACCCTCATGTCGTTTCAAACCCGTAAGGCCTTCGTTCATCTTCGGAACACAAATTAAGATATTTTTGATGGAATCTGAGAGCTGTCTGACCCTGCATAGACAGCAACGCAACTGAAATGTTCCCAAGTCCAGAAACGTAGCAAGGAGATCTGTAAAATAATCCATGTGACATCAGTGGTTCA